TATGTACCACATTTTCTTTTCTTCTCTTTTTTTAATTTTACTTTTCTTTTTTCTTTACTTTTCTTTTTTAATTTTTAAGTTCTGGGATAGATGTGCAGAACGTGCAGGTTTGTTACATAGGTATACATGTGCCATGCTGGTTTGCTGCACCTATCAACCCATCATCTAGGTTATAAGCCCCACATGCATTAGGTATTTGTCTTAATGCTGTCCCTCCCCTTTCTCCCCACCCCAACACACCCCAGTGTGTGATATTCCCCTCCTTGTGCTCATGCATTCTCATTGTTAAACTCTCACTTATGAGTGAGAACATGCAGTGTTTGGTTTTCTGTTTCTGTGTTAGTTTGCTGAGATGATGGTTTCTATCTTCATCCATGTCCCTACAAAGGACATGAGCTCATTATTTTTTTATGGCTGCATAGTATTCCATGGTGTATAATTCACTATTGATGGAGACTTAAGTTGATTCCATGTCTTTGCTCTTGTGAATAGCATTGTGATGAACATGCCAGGGCATGTGTCCTTTTAGTAGAACAATTTATTTTCCTTTGGGTATACCTAGTAATGGGATTGCTGGATCTAAAGGTAGCTTTAAGTTCTTTTAAGAAATTTCCAAACTGCTTTCCACAGTGGCTGAACTAATTTATATTCTCACCAACAGTGTGAATGTTCCCTTTTCTCTGCAACCTCCCCAACATCTGTTATTTTTTGACTTTTTATAATCACCATTCTGCCTGGCGTGACGGTATCTCATTGTGGTTTTGATTTGCATATCTCTAATAATTAGTGATGTTGGGCATTTTTTCATGTTAGTCACTCATGTGTCTTTTGAGAAGTGTCTGTTCATATCCTGTGCCCACTTTTTAGTGGGGTTATCTGTTTTTTCTTGTTGATTTGTCTAAGTTCTGTGTAGATTCTGGTATTAGTCCCTTCTCAGGTGCAAAGTTGTGAATATTTTCTCCCATTCCGTAGGTTGTATATTTACTCTGTTAATAGTTTCTTTTGCTGTACAGAAGTTCTTTGGTTTAATTAGGTCTCACTTGTCAATTTTTGTTTTTGTTGCAATTGTTATTACTATGTTTAAAAAAAATAAAAAATAAACAGATGAAATTAATTTTAATAATATATTTTATTCACTGCAATATATCCAAAATATTATCATTTCAACATGGAATCAACATAAAATATCAATGAGATATTTTACATTCTTATTTTCTAACTAAATCTTTAAAATATAATGAGTATGTTATATTTTCAGCACATTTCAATTCTAATTAGCCACTTTCAAGTACTCAGTAACCACATGTAGCTACCAGCTACTCTATTAAGCAAAGTAGACAGGCATCAACTTTTTATCCTCCATGTCAGCTGCAGTGGAGATAACCCAGGAGTGCCCAGTTGGGAACAGTCAAAGACCATGTGTGGTATAGTGGGAAGGACTACTCAGAGTGAGAGGCTGTGAGTTTGAGACCTCGGTTTCCCATGGACTAGCTGTAAAATCATAAGCCAGTTTCTTACCTTCTTTGATCTTTGAGTAAAGTCAGTGGTGGAGGTACCTGCTCTAAACAAAGTCGCTATCAGGATAACATGAATGTATCCATATGCTATGGCTACCATAACAAAATGCCACAGATTGGGTGGTTTAAATAACAGGAATTTATTTTCTCGCAGTTCTGGAGGCTGGAAGTCCAAAATCAAGATGCAGGGTCGGCTTCTCTGAAGGCCTCTTTCCTTGGCTTGCAGGCAGCCACTCTCTTATTGCCTTTTCATGTAACCATCCCTCTGAGTTATTGCCTAGTGCCTCCTGTGTCTGAATTTCCTCTTCTTATAAGTACATCAGTCAGATTGGATTGGGACCTACCCTAGTGGTCTCTTTCTAACTTAAGCACCTCTTCCAAGTTTCTGTCTCCAAGCACAGTCTGTGGAGGTTAGGACTTCAACATGTGAAGTTAGGGGGAATACAAGTTAGTCTATATCAGTGAGTAAAAGAAAGTAGATGCCCTTTGGGTTGCACAAAAGGAGGGAGGAGATATTATTATGGGTTGAGGTCATGGGCCCAACAGAAGGCCATTGCAGTGACCTAACCATGGGGTTTCCCCATCAGAGGGCTGAAGGAAGCCAGGGGACAGTCACTGAATCCCTGTCTCAGGCATTGACTTCCAGCAAACTGCTTTAGGGATACTGTCTCATTACATCTTTTCATTTCAGCGTCCAGGGATGTAAGAAAAAGAGAAAGCAAAGAAACAACAACAAATTTCCCTTCCAACCTCATCTCCACTAAAACTTTCTTCAGCCTTATCCTCCAGCTAAGGAGGTTGTCTCCCAGGCCAGTGGTTCTCAAACTTCTTGTTCTCAGGATCACTTTATACATTTAAAAATATTTTCATTATATAGATTCGAATTATTAATATTCACTATATTTGAAATTAAAGCAGAAATCATAAAAGCATTCATTTCAAAATCATAATAATGTTATCACATGCTAATGTGTTTTTAAATAAACTATATTCTTAGAAGAAACTAGTTAGAAGAGTGACAACGTCTTTGCAAATCTCTTTAATGTCTAGTTTAATAGGAGATGGCTAGAGCCTTCTGTCTGCTTCAGCATTCATTCTGTTCTGTTGTAATATGTTGTGGTTAAAAACATGAAGAAAATTGAGCCTCTAACTACAGATATGTAGTTAGAAAAGGGAGAATGTTTTAGCAATGTTTAATAAAGATAATTATGGGTATTCTCCTTTGATACAATCATCTTTCTTAAAGGTTAGACAAAATAGATGGAACTTGAAATCATATCAACGAACATTTTCGTACTTCATTGTATTAAAATCATCAGTCTATCTTGAACTTTGAATAAGCCATATATCAAGCATAATTTTGTAACATCATGCATTGGTCATTTGGAAAATATTGGTCTACTGAGCTCACAGATACTTCAAATGTTGACACATTTCATTATCCACACCAAAAATTCCCATTTGTTATTATCACCACGGATCTCATCATGTAAGTCTTCAAGTATTGAGAGCTGCTAGGCTGTGCAATTGCGGCTGTTATAAGACCTTCAGAATTCTCATTTTAATTCGAAAACCTGATTTTTATCATTGGCAACAAATATTGTCATTGTTTCTCTTGAAATTAACAGGTTTGCCTTGTTCATTTTCAAGAAGTGTCTGAAAAATGCCTAAGTTTTGATATCCATAGCTTGACTCTGTCATTCTTTCAAGTAAAAATGGCATTCGTCTCATGAGAAAGAGGTGAATTGAGCTCACAACTGAAACAAGCACATGAGAACCTTACCTTGAGACAATCACTGTACTCTGCTAAGCAGCTGCAGTGCTTTATTCATCATACCGAATATTCAAAAGATGTGTACTCAAGACTTGAGAGCTAATAACATTAATAACATTTACTGCTCTATTAAAAACATTCTTAAGTGACATTGATGCTTTTTTACTGCCTTTGCCTGCAGTGAAGAAGACAGTGACTACTAGTAGCCTGTTGACATTGCCTTGATTTATGCTAAACGATTTTACCCACCATTGTTTTGGCAATGTCAGTGCAAATATCACATGGTGGAAGAAGCAAATAACATGTCATTATTGTTATGAAAATTGTTTGACCTTATGGATCCCCTGAAATGTCTCAGAGACTCCCCAAAACTCCAGATCACACTGAAATGTACTCTTTCAAATTTTGAAATCTGAGACTTGGCTTATTTTCTGCCTGAAATACCCATCTAAATTTCTCCACCAGTGAAAATCAAATCCTTCTCTCTGACCCTGTTTGAACTACACCTTACCTATCATCCACATTTCAGTCCCTTCCTTTCTCCTGGGCCAGGGCTAGAGTTGACCAGAAAGAGCTGTTCAGGAAGCTGTCTACAGTGAGGATGTAGGAAGGGCTCAGATGGAGTCATTATGAGGGTTTGTGCAGAGGGCACAGGTAGGTAGGAATATGTTTCTGGGGCCCATAACCTGAAAGCAGAAAACTTAGATTTGGAAAATTAAAGTTCAAAGGGGATAGGAGCAAGATTGCAACCAGAAGACAGAGCCAAGGGTCAGGACAAAATGGTTGGGATCAAGTGAGTAGAACCAACCAGAAGAAAAGTTATAACGAGTAGTTAGTAGAGAGACAGTCTATGTAATCAATGAACTCTAGAAAACATGGGCACATCTCTAAAACACTGTGCAGAAACACAAAGCCAGGAGTTAACCAGTGCAGAATATCCATATTCTTTGGACCAAAAAACACGAGTTGAGCCAGGAGCCCCAGTGTTTGGCAGAGATTTCACAAAGGCCTACATTATTTCTCTACCACTTCCTAATGGTCCTGTCGGCGGAACCCCTCTCCAGGGAAAATAACATTATATTAAGGAAAACACACGTACATATGAAGCTAACAATAAATGTTGTCTACTTGACTCCATCTTTGGGAAAATCAGGGAATAATTGCACTGGAGAGAGTGAAACGGTACATGGATAAATATCAGTCAGGCGTGGTGGCTCATGCCTGTCATCCCAGCACTTTGGGAGGCCAAAGTAGGTGGATCACTTGAGGTCAGGAGTTCAAGACCAGCCTGGCCAACATGGCGAAATCTGATCTCTGCTAAAAATACAAAAAAAAAAAGCCAGGTGTGGTGGCAGGCTCCTATAGTTCCAGCTACTCAGAGGCTGAGGCAGGAGAATTGCTTGAACCCAGGAGGTGGAGGTTACAGTAAGCCAAGATTGTACCACTGCACTCCAGCCTGAGCAACAGAGGGAGACTCTGTCTCAAAAAAAAAACAAAAAAAAAACAAAGTTATGAAGAAAAAGAGTGTGAGTTCCACAGAAAGGTTAATTGAGCCTAAGTCATTAAGAGAGGATTTCTGGGGGTGCCTATTGTCCTATTGTGTCTGTCCCTGACAACTGTGAGCCAACAATTGAAGTCAGTGTAAATTGGACACCACGTGGTAGCACAACGGTGTCACTGTGTTCTACTCACGAGCAGTGCTGCCTGGATGAAACCTTGAAGGGAGCCAAGCATTTCACTGAGCCAGCTACCTACATGGAGCTCTTTGTGCTTCCTAAGGGGTTCATGAGGGTAGAACTGTGAGCCAACAATTGAGGGAGGGCTTAAGTGTTTTAGACAGTTGCTTTGAACACTGATTAGCAGACAAATATCTGTGCACAGGGGCAGCGGCAGGGGGACCCTTATTGACACAGAATAGGCCTCTGAGGGTGGACCTCTTGAATGTATCAGTTTAGGTCAGGGGATTATAATCTGGAGTTCACAGTGAGAGCTCAGCACCTATAACAGGAAACAAACCCTGAGGCTGGACTGGTCATTGGAAATTGGTAAGGAAGAGGAAGAGCCAGTAGAAGGCAATGGGAAGGAATTTAAACATGGCAGAACATGGTGACCCAGGAACATGGGTGATAGAAATCAGAAGCGTATTAGGAGTGGTGAGCATATTGGTCCTGCATTAGCTTCCTAGATGGCCTTCAACAACATAAATTAATTCGTTGGCCTAGAGGTTGAAAGTCTAGAAGCAAGGTGTCAGCAAGGTTTCTTCCTGCAGGGAGGCTCTGAGGGAGAGTCTGTTCCATGCCTGTCTCCTAGTTTCTGGTGTTGCCTTTTTTTTTTTTTTTTTAATTGGAGACAGAGTTTCCCTCTTATTGCTCAGGCTGGAGTGCAATGGCTCGATTTCAGCTCACTGCAACCTCCATCTCCTGGATTCAAGCAATTTTCCTTCCTCAGACTCCCAAGTAGCTGGGATTACATGCACCCACCCCATGCCACACTAATTTTTGTTTTTGTTGTTGTTAGTACAGACGGGTTTTTCACCATGTTGGTCATGTTGCCTGCAATTCTTGGTGCACCTGGACCTGTAGATGCATCGCTCTAATCCCTGCCTCCATCGTCACATGGTGAACTCCCTGGGTGTGTCTCTTCTCCCCTTCTAAGGGTACCAGTCCTTTTGGTTTAGGGCCCACTCTAATGACCTTATCTCAATTTAATTGCATCTGCAAAGATCCTATTTCTAAATATGATCATATTCACAAATGAAGAGTATGAGGGTTTCAACCTATCTTTGGGGGTGAGAGTGACACAGTTCAACCTATAATAGGCCCCAACCATAGGCGGTGGTGAATTTACAAGCAGATGGAGTGGGAATGACATTTAGAAATCCAAACAGATGTCAGCCCCACCAATGATGATCAACCCCAACCTGGTGGGTTGTGGGTTCTGTTGAGCAAAGCTGACAAGACCAAAACATAGGAATCCTAGATCTCAGCATGCCAGGGTAGGTAGTACATCATCAAGATCAGGCACTCAGGAACAAGGCAGGGGGTCTAGATCAGAATAGGGGACCAGCATTGGGGCTCCTTCTGGGCTGAATCCCTTCCTCTAGGCTCCTGAAACCCCCACCTGCCTGGGCCTGTCTAATCTTGCACTTGTCAAGAGGTCCCTGCTATGAAGAGAGAAGAGCTGGGGGCCAGAGACTGGAGCAGGAAGGGATTCAGTCAAGGCTGACACTGACCCCAGAGGATGAGCCCTTGGGGGAAAATCGTCTCTTCATGATGTAGCCTCCTGGGCCCAAGTTTTGCCTGTAAAACTAGAACAGGTTCCATCCGCCCTGAACTGCACTCCCTTTCTCGTCTTGGTTTCTCTCTGCAATGACTCACTGGTCTGAGCACGTTCCTCCCCACATCAGCAATGGGAAGCACGGAGAAGACAGTGTCCAGCGCCCTCTGAAGTCATTGGCGACCGCAATGGAAGTAGTTGGGGGTCGACAGTAAAGTTGGAGACTGAAATTATTTGAGCTCTTAAAGTGAGATAATAAGGTAACTTTCCTCCTCCTGGTATGAGCTCATTTAATTGTAAAGATCTTAATAAATTCAGCCTGATTAACTCCAACCTTGTGGGGGAAGGTTATTCAGTGTTGTGGAATTAATTTTAAACAGAAGCAAAAAAAAAAAAAAAATGAGTGAAAAGAAAAAACCTTCAGTGCAGAATAAGGTGGGAGGGAGGTGTGTGTGCAGGAAGTCAGGGCTGGTGAGCACCCACTGGGCCTGCTCTGGAAACCATACCAGAGCCCCTGATTGATCAGTTGCTTTCTCAAACATGGTGGAGCCTCGGGTAACTCCCCCAGGCTGAGAGCAGTTTGATTTGTATACACCTCAGGGCTGAGGTAAAGTGTGAACTCCTCAAGGGTCCGTAGGAGTGTCCAGGACCCCTGTCCTGCTCAATCTCCACCTGTTCACCTCGACCTGCTGTTGTCTTGGTCCTGAGTAGTTTCTGTGTCCATGCTTCCACTGTGCTTAGGAGCCAGGCACTCATGGCTTTTGCTTTCAGGCTCTTTTTACCAGCTGTCTAAATATAGGTAAGTTTCTCTCTTTGGACGTCAGTTTCCTAATGAGGCCAAGGATGCTCATTGCAAGGATTAGGTACACATGGAGTGCTTAGCCCAGTTCCAGGAGCATAACAGCTGTAACTACTATCACTGCCCTATCGTTTGTCTTGCTGTGTACTTTCTGTGGCTTTCCACTCCTGTGGTCCCCATGGACTCTGGCTGAGATGCAGCCCCTGATTCTCCCCATCTCAGACCTCTCTGTTCACCTGCTTGAGTGCCCAACATTGGCATGGACCTACAGGCCAGCCTGAGCAATCTGAAAAAGGAAGTCCATTCATCAAAATACCATTCACGCGGGCCAGGCACTGCACTCTATCTATCATAGGCATTATAGCTAAGCCTCGGGGCAGTCTTAGAATCCTATTCTAGAAAATGGGGATCGGGGAGTTTAGAGAGGTTTAATGGCATGTATTTGAGGCTGAGGAAGCCTAGTTCATTACCTACACCCACACCCATAGCGCCTATGGTTTCTAAACAATTTCAGAAATTGAAATAAGCACTATTCAAACAGCCTCTGCTCTATTGCCCAAAGTTCAGGGCTGCCTTATAAAGTTAGATTGAAGAACATGACGCTGACCAGAAGCAGAAAGAGGACTTTTTTTTTTTTGAGACAGAGTCTCACTTTGTCACCCAAGATGGAGTGCAGTGGTGCCATCTCGGCCCTCTGCAAGCTCCACCTCCAGGGCTCAAGAGATTCTTCCACCTCAGCCTCCTGAGTAGCTGCTACTACAGACGCATATCACCACACCCAGCTAATTTTTGTATTTTTAGTAGAGACGGGGGTTTCACCATGTTGGTCAGGCTGGCCTCGAACTCCTGACCTCGTGATCCACCTGCCTCAGCCTCCCAAAGTGCTGAGATTACAGGCATGAGCCACCCCGCCCAGCCAGAAGGAGAACTTTCTACTCCTTTCCCTTGAATTTAGTTGACCTTGGTATAGGTAGAGCTGCTGGGCAACAGCAGGCCTCCCTGTTTAGGGCTGGGAGGGACCAAAATGGGAATAGAGTTCTGCTCGATGAGCTCAATCCATGGGAGAAAAAAGCCCAGTGCAGGATGTGTGAGGCTCAGGTTAAGCCAGAGGGATCAAGAACACACAGCTGGGGCCACTTGGGTTTACTGCACAGCCCCATCTCAGTGGGAGACAAACATGAGACACAGGTGTCATTCTCTAGCCACCATCCAGCTGTGTGCCTTGACTCTTCCTCTTGGCTGAGCTACAGAGTCCCCGACTTGCTGGTCACTTTCTGCATCTGAAAGTCAGCCAGGTTTAAAACACACAATTGAGATCTGATTCAAAGTTCTCACCATGAAGTAGGACGAGGACTCCCTTTGCTCCTTTGCTCCTCCCACTCTGTTGGAAATAGATGCTCAGTGCAAAGAAAGATTAGCACTGAGACAAAGGATCTTTTAGCAAGGCAATTTTTACTTCCTGAACTGCAGGAAGGGTGCCCTCGCTAGCCATCGTGCCGTGAGAGTACCATGAACAAACAAAACAGACAAATTTATCCCTTACGCATTCGGAGTCATCCTTACTGCTGTGTCTCATCTCCGTTGGCTGGAGCCAGACCTCACAATTTAAACTACAACCCGACTGGCTAATAACTTAAAACTTTTTTAAACAGGTAAAAGCAATGGAGAGCTGGGACATGCCTGTGAGCACATCCAGCACAGATATCTTGGTTAAAGTATAGGGACATGGAATGTACTTAAGCATATCATGTCTAACAGATACATAGGATAGGGCTTAACAAGGTCATTAGCACACTTATTATTTTTTTTTAATTGCATTTTAGGTTTTGGGGTACATGTGAAGAACATGCAAGATTGTTACATAGGTACACACATGGCAGTGTGATTCGAACTTTTAAAAGGAACTTTTCTACTTCCCACACACTCCCTTCTTTGGAGCAAGGAGAGAGAGATTCTGCCTCTAAGATCTTTCCTCCCCTCTGTGGCCCAGGCTGTAGACATCTTTCCCTAAGCACCCTCCCCTACACCGCCTCTCCATGTTAGTTCAGCCCTGGATAAGCCACAGCTGTAGGTATCTCTGCTACTCAAACAAGGTTGAAGCCAGAGGCCAGGACAGTGAGGATGGTGAGCAGGGGTAGATGAGGATCCCAGAGTCTTGTGGCCAGAAAGAACCCTCCAGGCCACTCAGCTTGGCTTCCCATCACAGCTATGTCTTGCATGCCCCGTGTTCTTTCCCAGCATCATCCCCACCATCATCGTCTCTTTCCTGAAACTTTGCTGTTACCTCCCCACCAGCAGGTCTGCCACCCACAGTCATTTGGGTCATGCCCTGTTGGAGGATACCAGACCTGAGGGTGAAAGGGGTTGAAATGCAACCACATAAGTTTGGCCCAGACAAGCCCTGCATCTGTCGAGGAAAGGTTTTTTTTTTTTTTTTGAGACAAAGTCTCACTTTGTCTCCAGGCTGGAGTGCAGTGGTATGATCTTGGCTCACTGCAACCTCCGCCTCCCAGGTTCAAGTGATTCTCCTGCCTCAGCCTCATGAGTAGCTGTAATGCCCAGCTAACTTTTGTTTGTTTTTTTTTTAGTAGAGATGGGGTTTCACCAAGTTGGCCAGACTGGTCTCCATCTCTTGATCTCATGATCTGCCTGCCTCAGCCTCCCAAGGTGCTGGGATTACAGGCATGAGCCACTGCACCCGGCCAATGTGGATTTTTTAAAAGCATCATTTAGTCAGAGTTGTTGTTTAGCTAAGGGTTATGACCCATAAGCAACCTGGAAATTTCACTTCTTGGTTTCAACCAGCATTTTTTAAAAGATGAAATGGAGTAGAAGAAAACAGAATAAAGAATACCAGAGTGATTTTCACTGCATTTGGGAAAACTGTTGAAATTGCATATGTGTGCACACGTGTGCCCTGGGTTGTGATATACAATGTCTCTCACTGTGGATAATGGTCCAAATCTTTGGAAGCCACAGCTGCAGGTGTCTTGCTGCCCAGCACAGGCTGAGAATGATTGCTTTAGTTTTTCAGGGCTCCTAGAGTCATGGAATTGTTGACTGAAGTAAATGATCAGAATGGGAAGGAAGGCAGCTGCTTGCACTCTTTCTGGTTCCAAATGGTAGCTGCTGCTGAAGTGCTCTGACTATGCCCCTGTTGTGTTTCTGAGGCTTCTGCCTCCCTTGACAACTACCACTCCCAGGTTCTCAGCCCTCCCCCTACACACCTAGCCTATAGAATTTGCTTAGGAGATGTTCGTGGCCCAGATGTGTGTCTGTGGGCTGGTGAGTGTCTTGCAAGTACATCACAGGGCAACTACTTTCAAAAACAGGATGACTCTCAGATGGCGATGATAGGAGCTGTCTTCAGCTGCCAAATTTCACTGTACCCCAACCATGAAGTTCTTGTGGGATCTACTCTTGGCAAGTAGTTCATACTTGGCCTTCATGTCCCCACGGTACCCTGTGACTGAGAGGCCCTGCTGGGTAGCCAACATGATGTATACCTTGCTTCAGATCCAGGTCCACTGGCTCCCTGAGAACAGCACTTAGCAGACTCCCACAAACAAGGACATTCATCTTTGTCAGCCCTAATGAACCACATTTGTCAGACAGGAACCAGAGAGCAGCTGTGTTGGAGGGAGACAAATCACTTAATCCAAGCCTCCTGATGTGGCAGCCCCTGGCACGAAGGAGATCATGGCATTTAACTACGGAGGGGCCTGAAGAACTCACATAGCGGGAGGACTGGTTGCCCTCAACTCTTCCTTTCAGGAGCAAGTGTGTGAGTTGCCTACTGCAGTGTGTGCATTGGCTGGTGCTTCTCTCCTGTATGCTTCACTTGGCTCCAGGGATGTACACCCTGCAGATGCCTGGGCAGGAAGAGAGAGACAGGAGGTAGCAGCCTCTGTTCCCAGCCTGATGCAGGCCCTAGAAAAATGTGTTCAGTGTCATCTCTTTTGGTCTCACCAAGTTGCTCCTATTTAAATGTTTACAAAAGACTCTTAGATCCAAGGGACAGAAACCCATTCCCAATAAGCTCAGGCCAAACAGGATGGATTGACTCATGGATGGTCAGATTGAACAGCCATGCTGACACCAAGGTAAGGGTGCAGCTGGGCTCATGAACAAGGGCATCCAGGAACTCACACATGACCTGGCACCTCTGCTGTCTCTCCATGCTTCTCTTGGCATGCTGGCTTTGTTCTCTCTCCCTGTAGACAGGCTTCCTCCTTCACAGGGAAATTTTGACATTGACAGCTCTCAAATTTTACCTCTTAGGGCTCCCACCACTGGAAAGGTCGATAGATGCTTTTCTTGGCTCCAAACTGAAGAGAGAAGGAGAAGAAATATCCTCCCAGGAAAGAGCTCTGAGCTCTGATTGGCCATTTCAGGGCAATTGCCAACACAGTCATATATGGCATGAGAGGTAGAGTCACCTAGGGCAGTTCCCATGTGAACTACATGGCTGGAATCAGAGAGGAACAGTTATTGGGAAAAGGCGGGAGTCCCCAGCAGACATGCCC